CTGGCGTGAATTTGAACTTAAAATCGTTTTCATGTATTTTAAAAGTCAAAATATTTGATAAAGAAATATATAGGTAAAATGAATTCGAAATGAGCTCTTAATCAAGTTCACATCAAGTTACAATTATTCTTTTTAGATTGTAATTACTATTGATTGATTTAAGTATTAAATATGTATTTAAATTTAAATTAATTAATTTAAAATGTGTGAATGAACATTTAATTTAAAAGGAGAACATAAATTATTGCTTGCAGTCATATTGCATACAAGAAAAAATCATATATACGGGCTGATATTTTCAAAATAAAAAAATTTGTTTATTTTTTAATTTATTAAGAGAAATTAAATTTTATTTTATATTTTTAATTAAGTTTAGAAATTTATTATAATGCTTATATGGTTTTTGTTCTGTTTTTTTTTTATTGTACCTTAAAATAATTTATATAATTTATGTAATATTATTATAATACTAGTTAGATTTATCAGTTTTCTATTGTCTTCAGTTTTAGAAGAGTATTTTGTTTTTTTTTTTAATTAATTATTTAAAAATAAATGATATTTGGAAAAATAACAAATAAACTGTAATTAAGGAAAAGAAAATATAAAGTAATTTATTTAAACTAATATTTAAAATAATTATATTTTTTTATTATATTTAGAATTTTCTTGTACTTTAATAATGTACATTTAGAAAAATAATGTGTATTTAAAATATTTCTATCAATTAATTTATATTTTTCATAAAAAATTTATTATTCAAATTATTATGATATTTTATTTAATATTTAAAATAAGAATATAGTATATAATAATATTCTTAATATTAAAATTAAATTAATAATATTCTAAATTTAAAAAAGAAATTTGTTGGATTTTAGAAATACTAAATTACTTTATTGTTAGATTTAATTTAACTTTCTGTTCTTACTAAGTGCCAAAAATGATCGAAATTCATGGTCGATGTGATGATATGAATTTTTTCAAATGCAATTTTCGTTATAATGCATATTTTCGTAGTAATATGTGTGTGTGTGTGTGGTAAAAATTATTTATATAAAGGATATAGTGCGAGTTCTTTATTTTACGTTTTATAATAAAGCAGTACATAAATAGTTATAAATTTATAACAAATTGTGATTTTGATTTTGTTATAATAAATAATATTGGTTGTTAATAAAAAATATTATTGAATTTTCAACTATTTATGTCTATCATTTCTTAATACCAATTTTAAATCAACGTTGAAGAAGTTCATTGTTAAAAGAAGTATATAGATAGTATGTTTCCTTTTTAGAAAATATTGAGATAACTCAAATTATTTCAATAAAATTTAAAATTTTTTTTAATAAAATTTTCTATCATCATTGCACTTTTTTTTATTTGAATAGAATAAACATTTAGTCATAGCTTTTCAATCTAAGGGGATACGTAATTTATAGTCTTTGGCTTATGTGACCTAAAATAGATTATTTTACCGAATAATGAAATTAATTTTTTTTTGGAACAATTATTGTTTTTTTTTTTTGCTTTTTACAGCATTTCATTACTTATTTCGTTGCATAACAGTTTGTAATTTAAATAAACTAAACAACTATGTTAACTATATTAACGCACACCACTCTTGTTAACTCATATATGAATTTAAAGGAAATAATAAAAGATCCTCATTTATATGATTACGAAAACAATAAAGAGTTTCTATTTTGTTAAAATTTCTCTAGAACTTATGAAACGAAATCGCTGTGTACATTATATACGTTATTGTTATTATAAAACATTTTAAATATCATGTAATTTGAATGTTTAAAATAAATTATATAAACTTCTTTTTTGGGTTTCCTTGTTTTGAAATATTAATTTTTTCTTTTTAGATTTTTACTCTTCCATATTTAATTTTAATCTTATATATCATACTTCGTAATTAAGTTGGAGTTGTTATAAGTGGAAATTATCATTACAAACTGTTATTTGATCAAAAATAAATTTCTTTTTTATTATACGATTACAATTAAGTATAAACATTATTTAACATTTTTTACAATATTTACATATTTTACTAATAATATAGTTAGTTATTTGTGCTCAGACAGTCCAACTTTTCGTAAAATATTTATTATTATTACGACAATAAATTGTTAAAAAAAAGAAGTCATTATGATAAAGGTTGATATTTTCAATATAATTGTTAATTTAATTGTTTTTTTGAAATTATTGTAAAGAAAATTTACACATTTTATAATGTACTATAATTATATTTAATAATTTTTCCTTGTATTACAAAAAATACTTTGTAAAATTGTAATGTTATATTTTTCTTAGTTTGATATATTTAATGTTGAAAAAAATAATTATTACAAGAATTTTTAAATATTTATAATAATGAATTGGAATATTTTGGTTGAGTATTTCAAACAACATTTGAATATTACAATTATTTATTTTTAGGAAATTAAATATTATCAAGTGAAAAATTAAATAAAATTAATACTTTAACATTTTATTGATATGTAAATTAAATTTAACAATTTTAATTTTTTAATAAGTTTTCACTGATTATTTAGTAGTGTAAAATCTAAATTTTATTATGTGTTTTTATTATAAAATATTATTATGTTGGACAGAAATCTAAATTTTTATTTAATGAAGTTTCTTTTTTTTTTCAAATTCTATTGAAACTAAAAATTGTTAATAATTTCAATTTCTTTTTATTTTAAGCTGCCTTATTTATGTTTCTAATTTTCTATACTTTCTTTCAATAATTTAATTTATATGTATAATAGAACGAGAATTTTTATTATATTCACTATGGTTAGAGGAAAATTCAAAGAATTTGAATATTCAAAAGGGAAAGCTGCGTTCAATGAATGATTAGTATGAATAGTTTATTAAATTTTCTTAATTACTTATACAATAAGTCGTTTGATATTTTTGTATTGCATTTGTTTATAATAAGAATATTTTTATAATTCATAAAATTCGTTATATTAAAATTTAGTTCGTAAAATATTTTATTCGTTTGTTAATTTGAAATATTATTCAGATTGAAATAATATTTTTAACAAATATAATATTATTCAATGGCAGCTATTAGTTAGTGATGTATTTCGCATTCGTGTATATTTAGAAATATCTAACTATTTCTTTTTTAATGTACAAATAATAAAAGTTCAATTAATATTATATTAAATAGGTGTTAACTTGTTTTTATAATGTAGAAATAATTTGTGAAATAAACGTGAATTACTCACTTGTATTTATTTTTTTAAGGGTATAATGAAAATGTGCTTATATGTATAATTTGATTATGATTATCAAATAAATTAAAAATTTTAATATTTTACTTAATGTATAAAATAAAAATTTGCGTAATAAATAATAAAGTAATTATCAGGGGAAATTGTTCAAATATAATTATTTTAAACTGAATATCGATGATATTTTTTGTGAATAGGGGTTTTTTGAAAACACACATTTAATTACGTATTTTATTTGTTCGAATGTAAAATTATATAAATATTTAATAAATTTGGCTTTTAAAAAAAAATTAATGAGATTACAGTTATCTTATATCGATAAATTAACATATCCCAAACCATTTGTCAAAATTAAGTGTATAAAGAATTTGTAATATAATAGCAAGTATATTAAAAAATTTATTTCTCATAACTATAAATTTTATGAAAGATAATTCTTTTATTTAAAGTATATTAATAGGAATTAAAAAATGTATTACAAATAGAAATTTTACGAATTTTTTATTATAAAAATTGTAAATTTTTAATTTTAGCAATGCATAATATGTTTTTTGATTTGATTGAAAATTTCCTTATCATCTTTACAATATCTTATTATTTGAATGCTGTTTTGCTTTGCCTTAAATGCCTCAAATTGAAGATATAAGTAATAATTTTTAATTTTTACAAGTAAAACAAATGATTCTTAATTATAATAAATCATAGTATTAAAAAATATGTATAAATAAAGCTTTTTAAGCCAATTTAAATGAGTTTTGTGAATACATAATTGGTTATTTTAAATTATTAGAATATTATAAAGAATTTTCCATTCAAATTATTTGAATATTATTGTAGCTCAAATGCGTGAAGAAGTAAGAATTTAATAATATTTATGTAAAATTTTAGCAAATTTAATTTACATACTTATAATATTGATGGGTTTAAGTGATAGATTTTTAAAATTTGTAGCCATGAAACATAAATTTACATTAATACTGACACCAATTACATGCGCTACAGTATAACAATAATTCAATAATTTCTTCTATTTGCAATATATTTTTAATATTTAAATTGTAAATTTCATAATGAGTGATTACATGTACTCATAAAAATTTTTTAATAATTAATTATGTAGTATGTATAAAGAAAATACATTGAAATAGTAAGATTAAAAATAATTTAACGTAATGTAAAAACGAAATATGATTAATTAAAATATGAAAATGTTTAAAAAGTGAACATAATTAATTTATGACAAAGAAATGTTTTCTTTTAAATCAAGAGGACAAAACATTCATTTTTTAATTTAAGATTTTTTTTCCTTTAAATATCTTTATGTGATTTTGTTTTTGATATTTTTATTTTAATTTTTGTTTATTTTTTTTTTAATTTTTTAATAATTTACATACATAAAAATCAGCCTTTCGTTAACTTGTTCTTAAATTTTTATATTTTATTAATTTTAATATTATTTAGTTTTAAATAAATTTCTTATTATTATATTTATATCTATACAGTGTGGTATTGTTTTAATTATGCAACTATTGCTATTAAAATTAAACTTAAATATAATTTTTGGTTACGTTTCTTTTAATTCAAAATTCATTTTGTTTTACTTTATTAATATTATTTTAAAACTATATATATATATATTTTTTTTATTTAGTTTTATATTCATATTTGTATTTTAATCTTAATTTTTAAAAATTTTACTTTTAATTAATTTATTTACAACTTTATTTATAGTATATAATGCCAAAAACAAAAAAATAAAAAAAAAGATTTTGATTTTACTATTTAATTTAATTATTTATATAATACATTATATAAAAAAAATCTTTTTTCTTTAATTTATAATTTTAAATATACTAAAATTTTATAGTTTAATATTTTGATGTTATTTTGTTTTCGTTTTAGATCTACTTTGTTTTTTTTTTAATGACTTTTAAATTTAATTATACTATACATGTATAAAGAAAAAAAAATCAATGATCCGTGCTGATAATAGCGGCAGTTTCATCAATATTACTATCCCAATTGAATTCTGTAACACCTTGTTTATAATGTATATTACCTAAATTAGCAAATCGTCTTTTAAAATCATTATCTTTGGCCTTTAGCCTTTGAAATCTAAAATTAGAAAAAATAAATATTTTAAATTATTATAATATCTAATAAATTATAACAATATAGCAAGCATCCTCAAACTTAAAACATAAAAACAATATTTTGGTCCTGAAATTTTAATTAATTTTCTAAAGAGTAAAAGATATTAGTTGAAATGACAGTAAGAAAAATAATTTTTGAATATAATTTTTTTATATTCAAAATATTTTTTAATTAATAAAACTTTTGAATGTAATTTTTGCACAATATAATAAATTAAGAGAATATTTAAGGGAACCTTCAAATTCTCAAAATTTTTATGTAAGTGGTTTAAAGCTTTACAAAAATTAATTTCAAATAAAGGTTACGCTTTACAATAAAAGATCTACTTACGAGAAACAAAGGGATTTTAAATATTTTGCTCAAAAAAAAGTTTGGATTTGATTTGAATTTGGAAGAGTTCTTATTCTTTTTGTCAAATATGTTCTAAATTAAATTTATAACAATTTTTTATTAAAATTAGTACTAACACTTATTTAAAACAAATTATATTTTGAACACGATAGTAAAAATATCGGTTATAATATTTATCCATATAGATTTGTTATATATATATAGATCGAGGTACATTTTCAAATGTTCGACACTTAGCCAAAAATTAATAGATTCATTGAGCTAATGTTTCACAAAAATTATTTTGCATTCATAAACTAATGCTAAAAATATATGTTTTTATACAGTGTTTTCTACATTAATATAATGTATATAACCCTGTAGATCTTAGGCACAAACAATGATTTACAATAGTCTTCTTCTATCTGGTTTAGAAGGATTTTAGAGACAGGTTTTTTTTGACTGGTAATGACAATACATTCAGATATGCTCCAGAATGATTTTTATATAGGATACTTCACGATCACAAAACGAACTCAATAGTACTTTTATTAATACATCACAACTATTTAAAATAAGAATATTTGAAAATGTTTTCGATTTTTTTAAATAACAATATTTTTTTTCGATAATGTATTAAAAATTTTCCAAGACTGCTGAAGTCTAAAATGCGGTTTTTAATTTTGGGAATAACGTTTTTTGCGTATCTTAAATCTTTGCGTATCTGCGTATTTTTTGCGTTTCTTAAAATTTGTGAAATAAATGTGAATGAATATTTGGAAAACCATTAAGTCAAATATAAAATTTTAGAAAATAATGTGTTTCTTTTATAATTTTATTTATAATATTTATTTCGCTTAGTTGGAAAGCTTAAAAGTATTCTGATTACAGGTAGCTAGAGCAACAATTGTTTCGATTTATGCTTGCAGATTTTCTATTCAATTTTTTAAACTAGTTTTGTACATACTGTCTTTTGTTTGTTAGTTTAATTACTGGTTTTTGCTCATTTAGCTAAAACCACTTTCCTTTTGATCTTCAATTCGTTTGTATTAATTTATTTAGCTTAAATAACAACCTTAAAGTGACAGAACAATAATTTTAAGAAATACTAATATTATTGAATTAAATTAATAAACAATAAATAAAAAAAATTTATATAAAGTACTGTAATGTTTTAATTCTGTAATGTTATGCATTCTTTTTTATATATGAACTGTATACGTACTATACCTTTGAAATAATAAGTTTTTTGCAAATGTATAAAGCTCAACATCTAAGGCATTCAATTCCTCAATTTTTTTTCTTTGATCAGGTCTTAAGCTATTCACAGCTGCTGTTGATATTGTTGTATTATGTTGCTCAAAAGGGATAGCAAAACGTAAATTAAATGTTTCTTCGAATATGTATTGTGACATCTGTGAATGTATAGGTGGAGGATGAAAAATTAAGTATAATTTAGAAAATTTAACAAATATTTAAAATATTAAAATATTTTATGTGCATATTTTATAATTATTTTAATTAAAAATAATTAAATAATTATATTAATTCATTATTACTAATAAAATTTAATATTTATTCAATTTTATTTAAAAATTATATTAAAATATGATTTTTTTTCTATATGGCTTTTCAATTCGTACTTACTTTTTGATACTCTGTTAAACCAAAATATGACATTGCAACTAAATTTCTTTTAGCGCTAGCTAACATAACACGATCTCTTTCATGTTTTGGCATTGCACTTCTATTATAACAACCTACTAATGCTAAATCAGCTAACATTCTTGTTTGTCTATTAGCTGCTAAATTACTTTCACATGCTGCAAATTGATCTAACGTTACATCCAACCAATCTTTTCCTATATTAAAGAAATAAAAAAAACAAGAAACATGAAATTATTTTATGAAATATTCAAACGAAAATTTTTATTTAAAAAAATGGGAAAATATAAACTAACTACGTATATGTATGTGTATGATATTTATACGAGTATTCGAATATAAGTTGTAGCTATGCTAAAAAACAAATATCATAAATAATGTGCAGAAAATGAAAAGTTATAAAATTGAGAACACATAATATAACTGTTTAAAGGAGATGTAAAAAGATAGAATGTAAAAAATAATAAAAAAAAAAATGAATAAAGTGGAAAAAAATAAAAAGTCATAAATAATTTACAAACAATCAATAAAAAATTTTTTTATTAACTTCCAGATTGCATAATAATAATTTTAAAGCGAAAAAATCAAAAAATGTAAAATGATATCTTTAAAATATTTAAATTTGACAACCGAAGGATAAATAAAGAGTTAGCAATTCAGCAACTTCATAAATTTATTAAAAAATGTAGTCGATTAAACTTATGGGTTTTAAGATGAAACATTTATATTACAATATAATTTTGCGCATTGTAAAATATTAATTTTTCTTTAAAAGCTTTCCAGATTAACGAATAAATTCAAAAACTGAAAATATTTAATACAAAATTTGTTTGACAAAATTATTTAATTAATTTGATAAAAACCTAAATATGTATGTATGGCTCAAACTAAAACCGAAGTTAACAGTGTAAGATTCATGTTTTGCATATCAATAAATTTGAGCACTCTTTCCTTAAAGAAGTGAAAATACTGCTCTTAAAAAAATTTATTACATTTTTAAATTATTTTCAATTATACACCACATTTCAAAAGATTGCATACATTTCGGAGGGAACAAAAAACAAAAATTTAAAGAGGTCTTAGCTTAATGCTTGAATTTAAAGGTTAATTTCCGAATTAAGGAAATTTATTATATTTTTCCATGGCATTGAATTTAGCGTTTGCTTTATGAACTTATAGAAATTTGTAAATGCTTGCACTTTCGGAAATATAATGTATCGAAAATTTTAATTTTATAAATTTTGACACAAAAAATTAAGATAAGCAAAATTTGTCCCAAAAATTAAAAGAAAACCTATTTGAGAAAACGGATTTTATTGTTAATTTATATGATCAACTATGTAGTTTGGTATATAAAGCCTATAGCTTTTTTTTTTGTAGAAAGAGTAAGTCCTCGCTGCGCTGCATAATTTTCAAATACGTTTTATAGTTTGAGTACAGTGAATTTTCAAAAAAAACGTATTTTCACAAATTTTGAGAGTAATAACTTGGAGGATGGGGGAAATGAGAAAAAATCTTATTCAAAATAAATAATACTTTGACTAACATGAATTTATTAACAAAATTCCTTCCACTGCAGATGGGTACGCGTTAAATTTTTTTTTTTTTTGGAAAAATGGTGTCTTTTGAAAGCAGAAAAAGAAGCAATTAGTATTTAAGTTATAAATACTATTAATATGAAGCTAAATTAAGTGAAAGCTATAATTTCTGTAAATCTAATTTCTATTTTACCTAAAAATTATATTTTCATTAAAAATTTGATAAAACAATAAAATTTATTTTTAATCAAAATAACGAATACAATAGATTTTGGGCCACATTACCGAAAAGGCGGAAAGTTTTCGGTTTTGTTAGATGAATGGCAATTGATAAAATCATTGAATGGTCAGATATTTTTAATGATATCTGACCATTCGATAAAAATGTTAAACAAGGAAGTGGGGAACATAAACTGAACAAAATAACAAATAAATAGGTAAATTCTAAATTTAAATTTTAACTTTAATGTTTCGAGACTAATTTTATATCACTTAAATATTTTACTTCTCTAGCTATTTATAATCTTTATTATAAATAGCTAGAGAAGTAAAATATTTATAAAAAAGGTTCGTAAATACTAAGACCGGCCGTAATTAAAAAATTTTATAAAAAAGGTTCGTAAATACTAAGACCGACCGTATAGCTAAAAGATTTCCGTTGTACCAAATTTAAATTTATATCACAGTTGTTGAAACATTTGAATATTTACATAAAACATTCAAAATATATTCAAAATATTTAAATGATAACACATTGAGTATACAATAATTATTGTAGTTCCTTGAACAAATTTTCCAAACGAATTTATAAGAAATTACTCAAAACTTAAAATAATTTTATTTTGTTTGAATTTCACTTATCAAAAATATTCTCAAATAAAAATAATAAAATGATGAAATTTATTGAAACATTTTAAATTCAATAAATATTTTTGCACATTTTGAATTGAAAAAAAAGGAGAAAGAGACGTTAAAATGTTCAAAATATTTTATTTATTTTTTTTTATTATTTTATATCCACTGTATAAATTGAAAGGATATAAGTAAACGATTTAATGTTTATCTTTAAGATTTTTAAATCCAAATGGTAATAAATATTCGAAAAAATAAAAATAAAAAATAAAATATTAAAAGTATGAGTAAATTTTTATATTACTGTACAAAGAAGTACATACATATTAACGTGTGTATATCCAATCATGTATAGTGTATAAGGATATGGTAAAAATATAAATGTAATGTATACAAGTCAAATTGTTTCTATATGGCTGTAACACATAGCTATATGAATATGTATATATGAAAATACTAGAAAAAAAAATTGTCTTTCTTTATATGGGATTCCATATAAGAAACATTATTTTTCGAAAAAAAAAAAAAATTTCATGAATTGAAAATAAAGGTAAAGTTTAAACTATACAAGAAGAAAAGAACATGATCAAAAAACAGCGCAACAAACAGGAAAAAAATAATAATTTTCTATATACATATAAACATATATATATTATAGAACAATAAACATTAAAGGTAATCGCATTTTTAGAGAAAAAAATAAAAAAATTGAAAATAACAAATAATCAAATTGTGAAAGAACAATACCCAATTGAATTTTTCGTTTATGGGCATATCTGAAGAAGAATACCTTTTTTTTTTTGAATTGTTTCTTTATTCAGATGTTACATCGCGTATTTTAACATTGATTTTTTGATTTGATATTTTGTCTTTTACTTTTTTTGTTTTTTTTTCTTCAAAAATAAGTAAAGGAGTAGTCAATCTTATTTGGGACAATCATGTTGTTTCATTTAAAAATGTGTGGACTGCAATAAATGCAATTTGAATTTAAAATTAAAAAAATTTTATAAGTGCGAGATTTCTGGTATTTTACTATATGGTAATTTTTAGCAATTCAGTTTTCTATAGATTTTAATTCATGATATTATAAACAAATTTTCTGACAAAAATTTTACATTTTTAAAATATAGGTACGCCGAAAAGTATACTATTATTTAAAATTTCTAACATATTTTTTAATGAAGAAAAACAAACCTTTAAAAAATTGTCAATAATTCTTCAACTATAATTTATGTTGGTTTTAGAATGTTGTTAATACAAGTTTTAAAATTAATGTAACTATTTTTGATTAAAAGATTTACACAGCACCCCTGAATAGCTTATTTGTAGCAAAAAGTACGAAAAACCCAAAATTTATTACATTTGAATTATAAGAATAATTGAGAATTATGATACGTGAAAATGACGACATCTTGTTTAAGTTTCCACCTTTTAACAGATTCTTTTAATTATTGGCATTCAAATAGTTTTGATAAAATATTATTTAAATTCCGGGAGAAAATAAAAGACAAATAAAAAATGGAAAAAAGTTACTAAAGTTTGAACGCTTGCCGAAAGTACGTGAATTATAAAATAATGTGATGTATTATTTTACACTCTTTAATAGATCAAGCTCCGTCTAATCCTCTTGAAAACTCTTTGTTTAAAGATTCTGTTTTAATTGAAATGGAAGTTATAAGCAAAAATACTTAGGTTAGTGAAAATTTTGTGAATATTTGTTAAAAAACCTGTATCTTTGGAACTATTAACTTTTAAACAAAGATTTTAATAAAATAAAGATTGTCCAAAGTAAATTGTTTTCTATTTTTACCGACCGCATTGCATACGGTCAATAGACGAGGCATTGCGATAGCATCAAATTTTCACGATTTTCCAACCAAAAAATGCATTTCTCTGTGATACAGAGTTTTTTTAGAAACTATTTTTAGCGTGTATCGGTTGGTTTACATGTGAACTCGTGTATCTTGACTTTCTCAGGTTGAAAATTTTTAATGAACTGAAATTTCAGTGATTTCAATTTGATATTTTAGATCTGTGTATCAATAAAAGTGAAATCTTATATCAGAAATTATTAAGAATCTGATTTACATCGTTTAGGTATTATAACTTTAGCTCTATTATAGAATTTGAAATATTTGTTTTAAGGAAATTTTCGGTCGTGAGCCGACCACATCCTTATTCGTTTAATGTTAAATTTAATAAGTTATTTAAACGATTACATATATGTCATTTAGTGAAGCGATTTTTTATTTGATTTTATAGGTTTACATATACTTATAATTTAAGATATTTCACTTAGCCAATATTTTAAAATATAGCTACTGGAATTTAAGAATGTTTATATTCTAAAACTATTTATTTATTTATTTCAATAAAACTGACAATAAAAATTGAATGAATGGCAGAAATTTTAACATTTTGGTTATTAAAATTAAATGTACACCAATTTATAGATGTATAAAGTGAATTACTTAAATAATTTTGAATGAATATTTCGATTATAGCACTTCTAATCCAACTACTAACATAAATTTATTTTGAAAACTTTTTATATTTTATAAGATTTGCTGAAAATAAAAAAAAATTTGGTTTTGCATTAAAAATATTTGGTATACTTGCATAATCAAAGCAAGAACTTGAAAGTTCCTTTTAAAAAACCATATTTGACAATGCAAGAGAGAGAAGAATTCTAACAATGCCATTCAAAAAGGAGACTTTCTTAAATCCCATTTAAAATCAATTTTAATCTACACATATTTCTTTTACTATGAAGAACTTTTTTAAAATCTACTTCTGTATATTCAAAAATTTTAAATTTATGCCACCTCAAAGAAATAGTTATTCATCTTAAATTTATTGAAAAATTTATTTCACATTTATTCCTTTCTAAAAAAAAATAGAATTTAAACTCATCCATTCTCTATTGTGCAATGTAGAAGAGAGAAAAAAAAAATTTAAAAATTCATTTTGTATTGCATAAAATTTTCCAAAACCACTTCTATATAAGGATATTTTTTGAAGCAAGAAATTGAATTCAACTAAATACCGCAATAAAAATCATAATAAAAAAGAAATAAAATAAATGAAAAAAGAAGAAAAAAAATGTAAAAAAAATATAAAAGATAACAATAAAAAATTCTTTTTCATACCTGTATAGCATGGTGGTAATTCAGCAGTTGTTGCATGTTTACCAAGGCACCAATGTCTTGATCCTTTCCATGTTGCACCACGTTTAACATGACGATATTCTGACATATACCTTGAGATAGGCTCACGTAATAATGTTATATAAAAATATCTTCTTTTCGCTGTTTCACCCTCATTCTTATCTAATTCTTGATCAACACAACTTGTTAATTCAGTCCAATCGGCATGTAAACCACATTTCCAGCCGGTTGAATAACGTGAAAATAACCAATTTTCATTACGATGCGGCCGAAAACAATAACATCTTTTACGTTTTCTTTGACACTCACAAGGCCTCTGAAAAATAAAAAATAGTATTAAATGTAGTCATTTTTTTCTTTTATTTTGAATTTTGTTATTAGTTCTATTTGTAGTAAATATTTTTACAGTACAATACCAGCAATGAATTTTTTTAGTTTTGTTTAGTTTTTTTAAAAAAAAAAAAATGAAATTTTTTAAAATAAGGAATGAAATTAGTGAAATTTCAAATTTGTGGTGTTTTACTGTATAAGTACATAGTCAAATAAAAGGGAACACAAATTATCTTAATCTTCCAAATTATTCATTTTAAATATTATCTAATGACAATTATTGTTTATTCGAAACTGAGTATTAAAGGCGTATCATTGAATTGCAGTTAGTTGTGAAAAAAAGAATTTTTGTCAAAATTTTGGTAACAAATATTCTAAGACTCGAATTTCTTCTTTTATCGGACGGGATCTAAATAGTTATACAGCTTTTCTCAATTCATGTTTTTATTCCTTCTGACTGAAATATGTACTTATTTCTGATATTTAGAAATATATTCAAGTTTTCAAAAACAAAATGTAAGAGAAGTTGCTATTTATTTATCAAATATTTTAAAGAAAAAAAATTGGATCTTAAAAAATTATTTTGTATTAATTAAATAAAATGTGACCTATAAGTACTTACTTCCGTATGGCACGGTCATCGATTATTATAACAAAATAATAAGATGAAAATGTAACATAAGTTACGGTTACAGAGTTTCAATTTTAGTTTTATTGCTATAGAAACTAGAAATAAGAAATAACTAAAATAAGACTACTCGAACAGCAAAACCAAATTTCAAATGTAATTACTAGTTACTGTTCAATAATCGATTTTTAAAATTTTTCCTTTGTAAAATTCAACGATACGTCACTGTACGAATGACCACATGCACATGCATACACACATATGCATACATAATATTATTAACCTGTCAAAGTCAGATAAAATAATATTTTTTTCTTTCATTTTGTAGTTTTTTGAAGCCTAAGAAGCATGTAGTAATTTTTTTGTTCTTGTTTTTTTGTTTTTCTGTATATGTACAAATACAAAACCCTGGGAGGAAAAATGTCATCATTTAAAATTCAAATATTATGCAATATGTTGACAAGTCTCTTTGTTGGTGGTACAGACCATTCATTTTTAAGAAACAGTTTCTTACAAAAAAACCAAAAAAAAAAAGGAATCCTTTATTTCATATTTTGATAAAACTTAGGATAATACAATAATAATATTGATGTATGTATGTAGATAAATCGCAAAAACAAAAAAAAATTCTATAAAAATTATTCCGTTTGGAAACGTTTGGAAACGCTTCGTCAATATTTAAAATGCAAAAAAAGAGATAACAATGAGAAAAACTAATAATTCATTCTGGTCACGCTTGTTTTATCAACAGTTTAAGTATTAGTATACATACATATATAAGTAGAAATTTTGCTTTAGGACTAAATAATAAATAAATAAATAAAAATAAGATGAGAAACAATGCAAACCAAACTTATTTCTATACTGAATGCTAATGAACAAAATATTCAAAAAATATAAAAAGAAGAAAAACAAAAACGAAATATGGTCAGAATAAAATAATAATGTTTGAAGACAACAATGGGATTTTTGGATGGACAGCAAGAACCGAAAATTAAAAATTTTCTATACTCTTACCACTCTTTGAAATAAAATAAATTTTTAAATAAGGTCAGTGTAAATTTTTAGTATTTTTTATAAGCAGTAATCTAACAAACACAAATTATTCACAAACTGTTCCATCTTTTATTTAAAACCTATAAATGAATTTTATGTAAAAGAGTAGATGCAGTAAACTATAAAATGATTACGATTAAATTATTATTATGATAAATAAGAGAAATGCAATAAAACCCTAATAAAATCTGTAAATTAAAACGAGTAGTGTGCAACAAATTTTATTTTAGTATAGAACATTGGTTCCATAACATTTTATTAAAGAATAAAAGGAAAAATTTTAGTTGGTGTCCGAACATGAAATGATCAAACCCCAGAATAATAATTTTATACATATGTGATTCTAAAATGTGAAAAATTTTATTTTCTGATAAACTGATAATTTTTGACGTTTTCAAACGTACCAATATTTTTTAAATACATTAACACCGTTAAATATAGTGCTGTGAGTTTACTATCGGAATTACCATTCCACTCAGATATAAATTTTTGTGAAAATTAGTTCACCCGAACTTGAGATACAGAAGCGCACTGACGGCCGAACAAATCTTTTTAAAAATAATTAATTTACGGTTTGTTACAATGAAGAAGTAAGTTTCCACCGAGAACTTACATACCCTCCCTTATTTTAGACAAATCGGTGAAAACAATGTATAAATAAAATATAAGTATATATGTATATAAGTCACGTGAATGTTAAAGTGAGTATGGGTTTTATTAATATATATGTTGACAAATAATTACTGAAAAATGTTGTTTTTCGTTTCTAGAGTTGACTAAAATATTATTAAATAATTTATAATTTCATATATTCACGCAGTTGCATTTGTAAATGGATTCAATTTAAGAATGTTACTTAGTAATAAATTTGCATTTATAGTTTCTATTCATATACACTTTTAGAGATATAGTTATTTTAATAACACAAGAGTATTTTTCAACCACACATTAAACAGCCATATTCATAAGCTTTAATAATTTATCTTGGCTTTTCAATATTTTAAACTTTCGAATAGGAAAACTTTTACAATTGCCCGTTTGTAATGTTTGCATTCGATTTAAAGTCACAGAACAGTTCAAACATTTAAAGTGTGTAATAAACATTTCGCACTAGTCCAGTCTATAAAACAGGAGCAATTTTAAAATTGTGATTAGACACGTTTATTATCATTGATGGGATTATATTATTTTTACATAGAAAATGAAATATAAATTTTTAAAATTTTAATTTAAACGTTAGTTTCACCTTCTGTATAACAGAATTAAAAAAGCCTTCTATTAGAATAATTGTATGTATAATACTTCAACTGTATTTATCCTTAAACTATACAATATTAAAACTAGTTCGTCTTTTTATCGAACATTTTTTGAATAAAGTAAGTCGAATAATTGTTGAAAATATTTGAATGAAAGACAAGTGATCAAAAGATTTAAAATATAATTAGCATATTTTTTTTAGCTAATATTTTAAATGAGGCCAATAAACCTCAAATTAGTAAAAATAATCTAAAAAATAAATAATGTATTTGATCTTGTTCTAACTACGGCAAATGTGTTAATTAAATTATATTTGATGATGAATTTAATTATTTTTTATTGAAAAACAACTCATTTATTAAAATAAAGCTCAATAATTCTATAGTATTTCTTACATGGTCATCGGAATAACATTTCATGCAACTAATGAAGTTAATATAGTTAAAACTATTTAATTAATATAATATTATTTCTTAATGAAGTGTACTTTCTCGTTTTTTTATAGGCTTTCTATAATAATTATGATGTCTTTTCTTAGTTTATCACATAGTACAGCCAATATAACAATATGGGAAACACATAGACGCACAAAAAGATATTTAGTTTTTTATAATGGAGGCACTGTACGTCTAGGACTTGGTATATCTGTTCCAGTACGTTTATATGATAGAGTACCCTATCGTCAATTGGTATGTATTGAAATTGAAAATTTTCGATTATTTATTAAGTCTATAGACTACAGAGTATAACATGCATATGTTTGTAAATTGTGTTAAAAATTTTATGACATTTTCATTTTGTTTTAGTTAATTCTCTATACTTTGTTAGCTAGTTATGATGTTCCTTTACAAACTAGTTGGAAACCGGTATGGTTGGCAAGAACATTAAGTGGAGTAAAAGAAACTTATGAAAAATTTCAATTGTATAAAGATGATCGTTTGCGAACACTTTTATATACAATACTTGAAGTACAAATGAATAGAGAGGGTCGTAATGGAAGAGAATGTTTGAAAAGAGCAATTTGTGAAAATGGATATTATGCTGAAAACCAAGGACTTTGGGCTGAAATTATACATGAAGTTTTAAGGTATTCATTATATGCATAAAGCAAATAACGAAGTTAAATAAAATTAACATAAATAATTTTTATTAATTTTAGACCTTCAAAATATAATTCGGATAGAGAATATATTGATGCATATCAAGCTGGAAAATTTAATGTAAATTGTATAAGTTTATTTCCAGATTGTAAGAAAGGCGATAGTGTTCTAGACCATATTATATTTGTAAAAGAATTTTCATGAAATTTTAATTGAATTTTATAAACATACAAAGAGTAGCTACTCATAATATTTAAAAACTAACAAAAGCTAAGGTTATGAAAATTCGATATTAGAATAACATTAATTTTATAATATATAGTTCTACTTTTTGTTATATGGGCACTACAACAATCTTTTAGTAAAATCTGTTTCATTTAGAAAAATTCTCTATTATTTGTGTTCCAATTCATTAATTTTGTAGATTGTTTTGCATTTAAAAAAATGCAGTATTGAAGCTATAACGTAGTTTCTTAAATTTACAACACCAAGATTGTTGACCGAGAAGATGTACGTTAAAGATTTAAGTTCAAATTCTAGATTTCATTTAAAAAAAATATAATTCTGTGAATAATTTTGGAACTAATTGAGTGAGGTACAATAGGCGAATTCTGAAAAAAATTTAAGCATTAAGTTACTGAAATTTGGAATTTGTTGTAAAATAAATTATATAAAATTAATTTGGCGCAATTAGTGAAGCAATTTTGAAAAATTCACTTTTAGTTTCTTTTTGAAAGAGAAACTGTTTTTAATGGAAAACATCCTTTTCTGTTAATTACAATATTATTACGTTATTTACAATATGTGGTTAAAATTTAAGTTTTAAACTAAATTTTGTATTTTTTTTTGTGTTTTCATTATATTTGACACAATGTGTACATTTCCGTATATTTGAGGCAGGTGTATTAGAATAAATTTTATTCCGCAAAAATATTTTTTTTATTC